CTTTCCTTTCTTGCAGCGCCAGCCCTTTGACATAAACAACTTGCTAACCCCAAGGGCCCGATCCTGCTTCCACTGAAATCGATACCAGTTTTGCCATGGGTTTCAAAGGGATCAAAGACTCGGTCCTGCAGTCCTTGAAGCCAATAGGGTTGGGGTTTTCTCTGCGTAAGGAAGGCTGCGTTAACACCGCAGAACGGGCCTAAATTATATTGATTATTTGGATTCAAAGCCACGCATCGAAATAGGATTAAGGGGAAGGGAGAGAGAGGTGTTTGAGAAAGCGAGTTCCGAGCAGCATCCGTCGGTGGCGAGCAGCGGGGCAGCAGGAGCTCGGCCGCAGCAAAGGCTGCCGTGGCACAGCCGCAGTTAGCCAAGTCCACGGGAAACTACTGGGGGGAAGAGAGAGATTCACCGTGGAGATCCCATTTCATCTGCTCCTTCTAAAGTAAACCTTTGAGTCACTCATTCTTTATTAAAAATAAACAAAACATTGACAGAAGAAATTATTGTCGCGTATATACACACAGAGTAATTGATTCTCCTTCTTCGCCCCGGCTTCTTTTCCCTCTTCTCCGATACAGGGTTGTTGTGTGTTTCTGTAACGCTGCTGGCAAATCACAATTTATCGTGCATATGTTTGTGCTCCACTTAATAAAAAATATACTTATATTTTCAGATAAACTTTGTTAGTAATTCATGAGGTAAGTGACTGTTTATGCTAATAAGGGAGAAATATATTCTCAAGCATAATGCATTACATAAATTTGAATGCAAAATGTTCAATTATGAAGTAAATACAGGTAATGCAAATAGTAAATTACATCCAATAAAAATATATAAAGAATGTGTCTTCAAAGAGAGAGAGGCTTTTATTTGCGTCTGCGAGTTGTTTAAAGAGAAAAGAATTAATAAATACTGAATTACTCTTATGATGATTTAGCTCATAATTCACCGGTCCGTAACGACTCCCAGTAATCAGACTGTTGTTTCATACCCTCCAATATAAGGCAGGACTGTTTCCTCAGCAATTTTATCCCTACCAGATTATCTCGTCTGATTCTATTAATTCTCTCCCATAAATCTGCTAACAGTGATATGTGATTTACTTACCCTGTTAACCGATCTGAAGACTGTTAAAAGGATTTATCTAGCACTGCACCTAGGAGCAGTTTATGCCTTATCACTCTGTTACTCTGAAGAAGTCTTTCTGAAATCAATTTGGCTGGTTTCATAGTCAAATTCAGCGGACACTGTTTAGTTCTGCACCATAAAATAAGACACTAGATAAACAAAAGGAGCAGTAACTGTACTTAGTGTGTTGGTCTTGATATGTGTTTAAGTTATAACAAATTACACTCTGAGTCCATATAACTCATAACCTGCCTGTTCGCTTCTGTGAAATCTTCTGTGTTAGATACACACACACACACACACACACACACTCTTCAGCGATGGAAGGTCTTGCATACACTGCTGGCGCGCTCGTCCCAACGCAGGGCGATCCGAGCGCATTTGGAGTTAATGTTTCACGTCCCCCTGCACTATTTGTCAGAAAAAAAATCCTCTCCCACAATAAATACAGGTTAGTTTGAAGGCTTAGGAACCAGGTCAGCAGCAAACCGGCAGCAAGGAGGGCTCCACGTTAAGTCGTCAAACAGGGATGCTTATAAACAAACTGGAGCGAGAGGCTATGAGAGGGACGCCGGAGTTTTCCCTCTGCCTGGCTCAGGGCAGGATTGTTACAAACGGTGCTGGGAAAAGGGAGCAGGCTGGGGGAATTGGCCTGCGATAACTGTGGAAAAACTGAAGCCTGAATAGCTCTAATTGAAATGAAAGTGTGTGATTGTTATGGAAGAAACACTGTTAATAGAGGACTGTAAATGTTTAGACACCCATTGTGAATAGCCAAATAATAAAGAAAAATACTACTAAAATGAGAATTGCATAGCGTAGGGAGGAGAATGTTGCTTCTGAAGGTTATCCAAAAATTGCTAATAATCTTTTTTTTCTCTACTGCAACTGAACAGCAGAGACATTTTGGTGCAGCAGTTCTGTGTAACAATCACACGAGAACAATATTGTGCAACTAATAATTTTACTTGCCATTCTGGTAGGTCAGAGCTTCAATTTAATTTGCAGCTCTTGCTTACATTGGTACCAATTAGGAGACGGTCCCCATTAGCTCACACGATTTCATACCCTTTGTCTAGAGTTCAGAGTTTACTCAGGAAATTTACTCGTTTGCAAATGTGGCACTTTGAATCCTCACGTCCAAACAAACTATTTTACGGGGCTGGAGCCACATTTCTACAACCATCTATCAAACAGGCCAGTGAAATACTACAATTGTACATTCTGAAAAGCAATAACCTTTTCATTTGAAAATATTAGCACACATTTTATGTCTCTCATAGGTGAGCATGTTAAGTGATATACAGTACCACAATTAGGCTGTCCTGGGGGGATTTATGCCGTGAGCCTGGAAGTTTTGTTGATTCCAACGACGTGAAGAAATAGGAAAGCCAGCCCGAGTAGTTAAGTTGTATTAACTTTGTCAGGAATTGCAATCTGTAAGATAAAGCTAGCAGATGTCCACGGCTCTGTGTGTGCGGGTGTGTTTCGGGACCGTGCAGGACTACATTTTCATTTTGTTAGCGATGTCGGCAGCATTTTTTAGCTTTGCAGAATTGCCTCTCCAATCATTTCTAGATGTAGTTATCTTCCTAAATTTGCAGTATGCCCTACCTTTTTTAGCTGCCAGGAACAGTACATGCTGTATGACTTTCAGATGTTAGTACTGGCACTCGTACCGATAATGGCATAGTCAGAAGACGTTATCCATTCGTAAATCCACTAGCCAAATGCTATTTCCTAAGCAGAGATTCTTTGGCTATTGCAAATGATGGTTTTCACAGTCGGTGAAAAATTACCCAGCGACTTGCCCGCACCTACAAAGTAATACCCTGCACCCAGTTATAAATAGCGAACTCCGAGGGGGAAGGGACCGGGCAAGGGGAGAAGGAAGGATTTGAAGTACAATGTTCAAGAAGCCGGTTTAATATATGACCAAGTGTCAGAAGTCAGGTTTCTGAGAATTACTTTTCAGATAAACAACTTTATAGCACTGCACTTAATCTTACTTACTAGAGACATCTCATTTATCACGGAATTACAAGTAACTTTAATTCTATCGATATTCCCATAAAGCCCGGTCGGAAAATCGAGCCTGGCAGCCCCGGAGGCTGCGGGTTTCCCCGGTTCCCCGCGGAGGGGGGTGTGCAGCCGGGCCGGGACCGACC